GTTGGATATCATCTCCACATGTCCGCCATGCTCTACTCCCTTGTTGATAAAGGTATCTTGTATTGGAGGAAAATTTCCTCCGCCCTTCAGAGTAGCTTTATATTTTTCTTCAGGGTATTGTCTGAACTAGACTATCCCCTAGTCCACTAGTTCTTGCAGCGTTCTTTCGAAGGCTTCATTATGTTCTAATAGGAACCCACATTCCAACAGATGTTCCTTCAACAAGTTGATTGGGGTTTTTGCTTGTCTGGTTGCCCCAAAGTTAGTGACTACTTCAATTTCATTTATTGTCGGCCCATCATGCGGAGGCATAGGATTTGATGTGATGTTAGGTTTCTCGAATGTGATGTCTTGAGATTCTAACAAATCTTGGACCTTATGCTTGAATGGCCAACATTGCTCTATGGTATGTTAAGGAGAATTAGCATGATACTCACATCTGGTGTTGGCATTATACTTTCGCGGGAGCGGCCCGACTGGGGGAGCCAGAGGTTTGAGTTCCACTAAGGATGCCTTACCAAGTGTTGTAATAACTGACTGGATAGCATCAGAAGTGGATCAAAATTTCTTTGCGGCCTTCTTCCTTGTTGTTGTCCTTGTGGGATCATTAACGGTTGCGGTGCCCTTGGCTGTGAGGCTACGACATTAATTTCTCCCTCTTGTCTTTTTGGGGAGTCTAAAGTTGTCCTTTTTGGATTGTGGGGTCCTACTTCTGGCTCTTTTCTTAGTTGGTGATTGCTTGATGCACCAATCATTTGAGCTACTTCTTCGAAAGCTACTCTGGGAATCTGGTCTTGTTTGTCAATGAAGTTCTTTAGGGCTAAGAGAACTTGACTCAGATCTCCTTTAATTGAACTTATATCCCCCTTTACTTGGTCGAGTTCCTCTTTGAATGCAGCCTGAGTTTCCTCGATTTTCTCCATTACTTTTTTGTTGGTAGGCCCTTGTTTGATATGGAGGCCAAGGAGGTGGTGATCTTCTTCTACCCATGGCTTAACTGGAGAGATTTTTTTTGAAATATCGAGATGGGTTTTGATATGATATACGGGTGTTTATGAATGCATGCATGCGTATGATTATGTATGAATATGAGCAGGGTTAAATGTCTTATTCACTTGGGTATATATTTATCTTTCGCTTATTTTTTATTCGGTGACCAGCTTAAAAATAGGTACGCAAACGAGATATGGAAATAAAATGCCTTTATTGAAGGTAACATAATTCAGATATTGAAAAATATTACAATCTTAAACCAAAACTTATTTGCATGAAATTGAACCAAGGGAAATAAGTCTTCTAGGTGCGCTTGCGGACGTCTGCTCTTGAAATCATCCCCCATTGCTGGACAAAGCTTGAGAAAGTCTTCAGCACATTATTTCCCTTTTGTGGCTTTGATTTCAGAAATGTTTGGCACATTGACGCGGACAAGTTATTTCCTTTGGTATCAATTTTTAAAGACAGTCACCGAGATCTTGATTTTATTATTATTTTTTGTACCCTGTGAATAAGACAAAAAAGAAATGGGTGACGAATATATGTAATGTATGACGACTATATGAAATGTATAAATGCATAGATGTAGGGCTGAGTGACGGGGTTTTGTGACAGGTACCCTTAGAAGGTAGGTTCCTTAATTTTGACCTTCGGTTAGTCTACCCTCCCAAAAGGTGGTTTCCTTAGGGGTATCATGAATAAAACCAGAGGAAAAAAGCACAAGGGCTTTCCTTAGGTAGAGCCTCTTTACGGACTAAAACTTTCGTCTCAAAGTCGTGAAAGGTCTCATCATGAGATTTTAGGTTAAGGTCGTTACAAAGAGTCATGGGTGTCCTTCCAAAGTCCTACTCATCAAGAGGATATCTCTCGATAAGTATTCCTTTTTCAGAAGTCCACCGACTCTAAGTGAAGTCGTCACATAAACTCGCAAGGATGATATATCCCCTAAGCTAATAAACGAACCTTCTTTCTAAGGGTTATTGAAAATATTTTTTTGAAATAAAAACCCGCCACATAGCGAATATATAATAATAAAGAAAAATAGACAAGAAATAAATATATGCAATAAATAAATTAATGCAAATAAAAATAAAAACCCAAAAGAGACCTAAAACCTAGGGTTAAGGAGACTCCCAACAGAGTCGCCAGCTGTTACGACTGGTTTTTTATCAGAGTCGCCACTATCATTTTTTATCCTAGGGAAGGGCATCTAATAGGAAACCTTAATTCGCAGACATAGATTCTAGGTTTCAGACTCGGTTCTAGACGAAAGGAAGGTGTTAGACACCTTTCATCTACCTTGTTCACAAGGATACTAGGTTTTAGGTTTAGGTTTAGGTAAAATAGGGTTTTAAATTTTAATTAGGAGGACTCGCCATGATTTTTAATTGTATGCCTATGTATCCTCTTATGAAGAATCAGAGTCTCAATTCGTAGTTCGTATGGGGTTGGTGTTTTTTAGGGGTTGCAAATGTATTTTGAATCAACTCGCTTTTTGATCGATTGTAGTGATTGCGGAAATTTTTGGTTAAATGCATAATTAGTCAAAATCCGTTTGAAACCCTTTTGCAAAAACAATTGATTAGCTTAGTTGATTACGAAAAATAGTTTGATGATTTGTTGCGTGTTTTTTAGTTGCATTAATTACGAAAATCTTATTAATGCATGATAAAAAATATTTAATGCAAAGAATATAAGAAAATAATATATGCATTTTGAATAAAATAATTTATTTGTCAATATATAAATAATAATTAGTAATAATAATTAATTATGAAAAGTAATAATAATAATAATAATAATAATAATAATATGATAATAATAATAATAACTAATATTAAAATATGATAATTATATAGAAAAATAAATAATAATATAAAATAAATAAATAAAATAACTTAATTGAGTTAAACCAGGGGTGCGTTTTCTAGTTATTCAGTAAAATAGGGGGTGTTGTAATTAGATTGGGTTAGGCCCAAATATGCAGGATGGACAGGGAGGTGCGTCCTGCTTTGGATTTTAGTAGTTCAGTGGAAGGGTGGTGTGAAAAGAAGTGGGCTTAGGCCCAAACGTGAATTGGAGGGGGGATCTACCGTAATCGTGTAAGCGAGGGTGTACGGACCTTTTCGTAGAGACTTGGTCTATGGTCGTTTGATGGAGATGGTGTAGATAAAACTGAGGGACTATATTAATTATGTTAGGCACGCAGGTAATGGAACGGTACGATGCATATATTGTTTTTATTCATTTTACACTTGTTTTACTTATAGTGACTCATCTTTCTCTCTCTCTCTCTCTCTCTCTCGCAATACACAAACTCTCTTCCCTTTCTTTTTTCTTGCTAACCTTGTAACCCTAATACCCCTGCGGCGCCATAACCAACCCAAACCAAATCCCCCAACCAACAATCAAAAAGAACAAAAATCTAAGTTACCCTTTCGCGATGTCGTATTCCTATCTCGAGCTTCCGGATTCTAATCTCCTCCTTCCTTGTCATTTTTACAGGTTACAGTGAAGCTTTGAAGGTGGTGGTGATGAGCGATTGAAGGAGCGGTGGACGGCGAGGTGGTCAGCGGTGGTTAGGGTTTCAGATATTGAAACCCTAACCGCTTCACTCCTTCTTCGAGCTTCAAGGTGACTGGGTTCTTCTTCTTCGATTTCCATCCGTCTCTGTCTTTTCAATCCTCCCTGGATTCAAGCCTCTTTGTTTCAGTTCTTCTTTGCGGTTTCAGTCCCCAGATTTCTCATAGTAATCGATCCCCCCTGTCTTTGTATTCTTCTTCTGTATTTATAGGTTTTTAATTCTAGGGTTTTTGTGAATTAGAATTATGTTAGCACAGATTGAGGAAATTTTTGAAAGAATTAGGGATCGGATTTCATTTTGTAATTGATTGCAATTTGTACTGTAATTTCCGGATTTTGTTGTAATAGAGATTTGATGTAATTTTTCGGATTTGATTTGTAAGATTTTGTCCTGATATTTGATTTAGTCTATCCAAATCTGCATATTTGATTTATTCTACTGCCCTATGTTTCTGGGCTTGAACTGGATTTGAAGATTTGATTTTGTATGAAAAAAAAGATATGATTTTTGTTATATTGGAACAGTATTTGTTTTCTGCAAAAACGTGCGTGAATTTTGGCTTGATTGGTACAGTAGGTGTTTCCTACTTGGACTTGCACTAATTATTTTAAATTGGGCCTGGACGTTATTTTACCTGAATTGGGCTTATACTGTAAAAAAAATATTTTTGTCCAAAAAAAAATTTATCAGCCCATTTTCTCTGTACGAATTGGGCCTCAAATGGCCTTGACCCAACAATTTTTTTTAAAACAAAAACTTCTTAAAAAAGGTTTAATAAAAGCTTTTTTTTCATAATAAGCCATCTTCATAAAACCTTTTATCAGTAAAAGTGAAAATAATACAATTTAAAATACTTTTTTATAATAATAATAATGTTTTTTCTTTTAAAAAGGACAGCAAATAACAAAAATGATGGGCCGAGTGCCAAAAATCTTATTGGCCATGTTACTAAAACGAAAAAAAAATGGGCTAATACAGATTCTAATGGGCTTTAACTTGCAATTTCACCCTTTATTCGCTTGTTAACAACAACAATTTATATGGGCTTAATTGAAATCCCACAGCCCCTTTCGTTGTTTTCTATTTAAAAGAAACGGGCCAATATATTTAATTTCCACCTCTCTTTTACCAATAAACTATTTAATAATTAAGAACTTTAACAGTTCATCAAAACAGAAGCAAAAGGCAATAAAAAACTGAGTAAAGATATCGTTGTCTCGGTTCAAACAGAAAAGGCAGGGGAAAGTAAATCAGGAATTAAAAATATAGAAAGAGAATTTCAGAGCAAGCTTCATATCAGATGTCACAGCTCAGCATGTTTAAAACTTCTCTAACAAGCTTCATAACATAATTTGAGATGAGAAATGAGATTCAATCTCAATCATTCATTTGATATAACAAATTTTTAAAATCAAAGCCTGAGATGATCTTACATGTTGAGAAGCTTCTCAGACAAGCCAAGCAACTGATATATAACAGATTTCATCTTCAGATCCAGGGAAAAAAAAAAGAGAGGACACGATTTCATTTCTGCAGAAAAACTTCTCAGAGAAGTTTCAGAGTTCTCTCTGAAATTCTCTATGGCTGCAATACGATTTTTCACAAAAAACTGAAAAAAGTCTTCAGTTCTCTCATCTCTCAAAACTTTATGCTCCCTTTGTAAATCGACTTTGTTCCCACTCTTTTCATCATCTTCATTCTACACTGTAGCAGCATTTTTATCATTATTCAATCAATGCATCAACTGCAAGAATTTATGCAGAACGCATCACAACAGAAGATATTCAGAAATGCAAAAATGAAAGAGTAACTGAAAGAGATGAAGAAGAATTAAAGGAAAAATGCATTCACCTCTAGTTTTCTTGTTCTCTCAAATTGAAGGTGCACCAAACGATTCTCCGGTTGGTAAGACTTGCATCCTATTTTGTTCTTCATTTTGCACGTATTATTTTCCTGGCGTTGAATCTGTTTTTACAGAGCCGAAAACGTAGAATGAGATTGAGAGTAAAGAAGTCGAATCGGTGAACGGAAGCTTCAAAGGTTGAATCGCTGAGCAATCGAATCATTGAGACGGCGGTTGAATGAAGAGTTCGAAACAGATGCGGAAAGTTGAAATAGAGGAGTACGTTTTTGCTGCGGCGGCGCTATGAGTTGAGCGAATCGAAGATGAATCCGTGAGTGGTTGATTTCGAAGACATAGAGAAGCTCGTCGGAATCTGTATGAGATAGAGACTCGTGGCGTTGAGATAGATCTGTGAGAAGAGCACACAAATCGAGATTGTAAGTGAAATAGCAAAGAAGAAGGTGATGAAATGGAGGTATGGCAGAGAGAGATGAGAGCGGAGGCGTGTTGAAGAGGAAGACAGGATGTTGAGACTTTGTTTCACGAGTAATTTGAAGGGTCACATTCTTTGTTTTTTACCTTTGATTTTGGCCAAAAAAATGACATCACTTTATTTTTTTTTTCTTTTCTATTATTTCGTCTTTTTTTACTGAAGACTGATTATTAAAATAAGATTTGAACAGAAATAATATGTTGTTAGGCTGGACTTAATCAGTGCACTCTTTGCCTCAGCCCGTGCAGTTTTTTTTGAGCCTATTGCTTTAAACCACAAAATTTCTTCCTGGACTCGATTCTGATGGGCCTAACGCCCAATTTCTGAACCACACCCCTGATTCCAAATTTCATACCTCTTATATTCTCTTTCTTTTATTCTTTCTCTCCCATTTTATTTGTTTTAGTTTTAATTTCTTGATTTTAGGTATTAAAATAATAATAAAAAATATACAAGGAAATATAAAAGAAATACCTTAGGCTTTTTGGGAGCATTTTAGGATTTAATTAGATTTTATTATTTCTTCATGTTCTTAATTTTCTCTTTTTTTTTTAAAATCAAGCTTAAACATTATGTTTTATGTGTTTTCTTCATGTAATATTAACCAAATAAAATACTTGAGTATTGAGAATTATCTTGCATTGAAATGCCATGCTCCCTTAGGATTCAATGAGACGATTAATCTCCCTTTCAATCGTTTTATGTTGATTAGACCTTAGGATGTTGATACAAGCAGGATAGCTTTCCCTTTAATTCAACCTTCGAATCACTTGAGATTTTTCCCCAATAAAATACTCTAACCTGTTCAAATCATCTTGTGCCTTTTGTGCACTTTTCTCTTTAAAAATCTTCTCCCTCCTTTTCAAAACTCTTCTTGTTTTCTAAAGTGGAACTGCTTTCATAATAAACTTGGACTTAGGTCCATGCATTTTCTAAAATTATCTTTCTTAATCAAATTTTAACCAACTTAATCATACTTTGACATTTTTTTGTGAGAAGACTAAAAGTCAATAAATCTCATTCAAACTATTTTTCCATCTTGGCTTTCATCTTAAACTTTTCTCAAAAGATTCGACTCTTGTCAATCCTTGTAGTGATGCAAACAATTATACTTCTACGATATGTAGTAAAGTGAAATATTTTCCACTTGGGTGTTGAGTGAGCCATTGTTGATTTTAAAATACAAGCCATATCCTCCACTTTTAGATGATGCAAATTCTCTTTTCTCATGATTATAGGTAGTAAGTATGTTTTCCATACGGACAATGACGATGATGTCTCATCTCTTAAAATTTAAACAACACACTTGTGTTTTAAATTTTTAAAAGAAGAACTATGAGTGTTATGATTCCTCCTGGGATACGTAGGCACTAGATTGAAGATTCGGGCGAACACAATAATAAAAAAACTTTCTTTTTCCCGAATTGATTCATTCATGCAAATAGCTCTTTTTAATAGCCAACATACACAGATCTACAAAGAGGTTCATGTGGAGTACCGTAAATGTTTAGGGTGTTAATACCTTCTCTTTGCATAACCAACCCCCTTACCTTGAATCTTTCCCCCTCTTTTTGGATTATTCGCTCTTTTCCCATTCCTTTGGAAACAATAAAGCGCGGTGGCGATTTTTATTTTGATCTGTATAAGTCTAGACAATCCAATGGCTTAGTCTTAACATTTCTACCACTACAACTAACACCATAGATCATAGAAGCCATTTTGCTTCTATCTATGTTGTTGTTCAAGAATTTCTGAAATGTATTATCATATTTGTATAAGACGGTTTCAGAAGATGGAGATGCTTTAGAAAGATTTTCTTCAAGTTTTAAACATGTCTTGTTCAAAAAGACATTTTGTTTTTCTAAAATAAAGATGTATCCTTTTTGTTCAGAAACTTCTTTTTCTAGCTCACCATATTCTTCAACTTCACATTCAAGAACTTTTAGAAGGTTCTTGAATTTTAGTTGAAATTTCTTATACCTACTCAGAGATTCAGATAAACATAATTCTAGTTCAGCACGAGAGAGTTCAAAAAATCCCTCTTTTGAGTCGGACTCAGTTTCTGATGTGTTTCCATCTGATGTAGTAGCCATGCATTCTACATTGGCACGCTCCTCTTCAGATTCTGATTCTTTAGAGTCTGATTCATCCCATGTTGCCATGAAACCTTTCTTCTTTCCATTAAAGGCATTCTTCTTAAAGCTTTCTTTTCTGGTGCTTTCTTTCTGAAGTTTTGGACATTCATTTCTATAGTGTCTAGGTTCTTTACACTCGTAGCAAGTAACTTTTTTCTTGCTCTTTCTCTTGCAGATGATTCTGAACAATCTTCTCAGCTTCTGGGTCTTCTTAAGTTGCCTTGTCTTTTCTTCCAGAGTTGTTTTACTCTTCTGGAAAGAAGGTAAAATTCATCTTCCACATGAGAAGGTTCATCTTCAAAATCTTCTACTTCTTCAGCTTGGAATGCTTTGCACTTATTTGACTTGGTCCTTTCTGACCTTGATCATAGAGCGATAGACTTGCCTCTTTTTTGGGGCTCATAGTCCTCTAGCTCTATTTCATGACTTCTAAGGGAGCTAACTCTTCAAGACATAGGTTTTTTAGATCCTTAGAAAACTTCAAAGTAGTGACCATAGGTCTCCATTTCTTAAGAAGGATTCTGATGATCTTTTTAACATGATCAGTTGTAGAATATCCCTTTCCAGAACTTTAAGTCCTGCGACCAAAGTTTGGAACCTTGAGAACATGGTTTTAATGGTTTCTTCTTCTTCCATCTTGAAGGCTTCATATTTTTAGATTAAGGCCAGAGCCTTAGTCTCCTTGACTTGAGTTTTACCTTCATATGTCATTCTCAGCGAATTAAAAATATATTTTGTTGATTATCTCTTAGTGATCTTCTGATATTCATTGTAAGATATTGAATTAGGAAGAATGGTTCTTTATTTATGATGATTCTTGAGTACACGTTTTTTATCATCATTCATTTTGTTTCTGGGAATGGGAATACTAATTGCAGATACAGGTTCTTCGTAACCAAATACAACAAGATCCCAAAGATCGGTACTATAGCCTAGAAAGAAACTTTCTAGTCTATCTTTCCAATAGTAAAATTTATCTCCATAAAAACTAGGAGGCTTATTATTGTAACCGTCTCTTTAGTTTGTATGAGCAGCAACCATAGAAGTTTTTCTCATACTGGATCTCTATACACGATTAGGTGTTTGATTAGAAAATCAATAACAGAACCAGGCTCTAATACCAATTGAAGGTTAAGAAAAACTCAAGAAATGGGGGTCTGAATTGGGGTTCTCAAAACTATTTCTTTTTCAAGTGCTTCTTACAAACAAACAATGATAACTAAGCAAGAAAGAAAAGTGACACGTTTAGTTTATACAAGTTCACCTTAGAAAATGCTACTCTTCTCCATCCGCCAAGGTGATTTTGCCTTAGAAAAGGACTTAATCTAATAATCTAGAAAGATTATAACAACCTATAAGAGTTTACAAAAAACACCTTAGCCCTCTCAAGTAATTCTAACTACAACTTAGTCACTTGAGGAAACAAATCTAGAAATATTTACAATCAAACTATGTTTACAAGAGTGCTTCTAAAACTCAAATTTAACACCACAATGAAGAACAAATGTTTACACACAAATATGAGCAATAACTCTCATGCATACAAAAATGATAAATAACACAATAACGAGTAACAACTCCTGTGTTTTAGAGAATGCATAGTTAATAAAAAATTGAGCAATGACTCTTTGTGTTTTTGAATATTTCTTGAGTATTTTTTCTCATTGATTTTCTTTCACTTTTGATGCTTTTCCTTTGAGTAGTTTTGTTCATTCATCATTTTTCTCCAATGATGTAGCAATCCCTTTATATAGGCTGAGTAAAGAAGACTGTTGGAAAACGTCACTTTCATCAAGCCACCTACTACAACGGAAGTGTATGATCATGGGAGACAAAGAGCACACCAAAACTTTACCCGTACACTGTGCTTTTCACAAATAACGAAAAAAAGCATTGTATTGTTATACTGTATCTTCTTGTGTAAGTTTCTGATCTTTTATTTTGTTGAGATACTTCTAATCTGAAGTAGGAGAGAGAGCACATAAGAGATCACGTCTTTGTTCTTTAATCTTCTGATGAAGTGTTTCTGATAAGAACTGAAGAGTAATCCAGAAGATGATTCATCATAATATTCTCAAATGTATCAGAGTCTTTCAGAATCAAAACCTATTCTCCATATATGTAGCAATAGCTTATCTGAAAAATAGTTTCTTGATATCTGAGCTCGAGGCAAAAGCTTTATCTGAGAAGAA